TTTATATATGATAACATTCAGTTCCTCCGAAGATGAAAGATGAAAATGATGATAATACCTGAAAAAATCAAAGTACAAACAATGCAGCAAATTGTATCTCTGTGTTGCAGAGACACTGAACGAAGCATATCTGATATGGCATGTTTATTCTTGCAATGAAGACAACACGTAATTCACTTGCATATCTTTTTGCAGCATATTTTTACAATTTTAAACCGTTGGGAATCATACTGTTCAGTTTCCTCGCTTTTTTTATCATATTTATTTTATTATACATTTTCCCCATGTTAGCAAAGCTTTACATCAAAATTTAAACAACCTGTTAACTTAATGTTAAACAGGAGATGCAGCGTTATTCAAGCACGAATTATCAACAAATCTGTATTGTACAAAACAGATTTTTGCTTAATTTTCCGTTGGTAATTTCAATTTTCAGTTATTGTTATAAATTTTCTGTCATTTGGTTACAGTATCATGTGGTTTTAACTTTTGTTATAATTTTTCCAATGCCTAAGAAAAATTCTGCATTGCTGTTGTTATCTAGCTCACAAAGATTACAAGGTATGTTGCCACTCCTCATGATCTGCATCTCTATCGTCTAGATAATTTCAACAAACAACATTATACAACCTGTGTCAACTTGCAGAGTGAAGCTTAATTTGTATTCAGTAGTTCAACACTGACATGTAAACCTCATTCATGTATGGATATAATTGCCTACACCTTAAGCAACTGAAAAGTAAGGACGATTAAAACAGTTATAAACAAATAAACGTAATTGAACCAGTTCATACATTTATGTTGCTCATTTGTTTCAGCATTTTTGCTTTGGTCCATCTGATTGAAATGTTCTTCCATAACAGGTTCCAACTTAGTTTTTCCAGCACCCTATAAAAAATTGATTCCGTCTTGCACAAATTACAAGGTATGCTCTAACCTATGATTTCATAAATTTCATACGAATTGATGCTGGTTGTAAATACATTTCAGCATGTTCAATTTTACACCCGCAAGACACTATTTTAAAAATACTTGAAAGGTATACATGGAAAAATGGTGACCAACTTGGAGATAGGAGACATTACTCCAAATGAAGCTAATCCTTTATACCAAACAAGACCTAAATCTGACTGATGTCCTACATGCTAACGTCAAGTCGTTTTAAACTCACTCCAAAAGTGGACAGTGTCTACGTGAAACCATGATAAAATTGATATAAATACAATCCAACATCTTCACTTCTTCATTGCTTCAAAATATTGAAGTAAACTTAATTGGGACAATTTTGTTCTGGTAAATTCCAAAAATCAACAGTCAGATAAGGCCTCAAGGGTCATTATTTGCAGATTGCTTGGCAAAGTTGAAGGTGCTACACTTTCCCACAGGAAATTCCATAGAGCATTTGATCCCACTTCCTCTCCTGTTTAAATAACCTGGATAATCACATAGTGAGAACTCTGCTTCCTCAACCAAATGCAGCCCAAATTCTTCTGCCAACTCTACAATCTTCCATTCATTGAAAGGATATGCAGTCTTGTGTGTCACATGAATCTCTCCACAGTTGGCCAGCATTTTATGCGCACTCTTGAAGTAATTTCTAACCAAATTCTGATGAAGCCTGAAAGTGTGCATTGCATGCAATATTATTTCACGTATACATAACGAGGAATATAACTAGGGCTTTTAGTCTATTGGTACTTCTCGAACGTTAAGGTTCTATATAAACTTACTCAATTTGGTACTTGTTGTGTTCACGAAGAAAGAAACCAGCATGAGGAAAATTAAACACGATCCGATCAAATAGTTTATGAATCAGGAGAGGGTGTAGGCTCATGGTGTGGACGTCCACGTCATGCAGTACTAAGCAATCCCTGTCTTCTAACTCCTTCACGTTGCTCTTTGCACTTAAATACTTAGAGAACAACAATTCTAAAAATTAATTAGCATAAATGCAAAGGATAATTGAAAGGATTAATTAATCAGCCGGGAAGAAGAATCTAATACAATAACAACAAAGTCTTGCCCCACTAAGTGGGATCAATTGTATGAATCTTACAACTCCATTACATCAAAAAGTAGAATAAAATGTTACCTTTGGAGTCGAGAGAAGTGGCAATCATGCTAGCAGCAGAGCCAAATTTTTTAGCTAAGCAGGCAGCGAAGGAGAAGTCACCCTCACCCACTAAAAGTATACTCTGAGAACTGCTGTAATGTTTTATCCGTTTCTCTTGTTTACCCTCTTCCATTTGTCTCTTTTTTAGTAGTCTGAAATTTCTTAGAATTGTTTACTTGATCGTTGAAATATATAGAGTTGCAGGATAGGGCAACTGTTAGGCTCCCCATTTCATTTAAATAATTACCATTTATCACTCCAAATGTGCCGTATGTTGGTAATTGTAGGGTCTCCTTGTTGGAAATTGGAAAACTACTAATTATGCTTAACTCTTGTGAATCCGTGCACCTATGAGCTAGATACTTAGGTACTCATTAGTAAGTATTTATAAAAAATATTTTTGTTCACTACCCTTAATTTATCATCGTTAGAATAGATAAAAAAATTTAAAATTTCAAGATCTATATAATAGATAGACATCAATTTCAAAATCTAAATTCAATGCATCCTACTTTATATACTGGCTTTTTTATTTTTGCCCAATAATACTTGAACACGTTTTATTATTTTAAGAAATAACAGATATGTTACTTAATTTTCCTTGGACTTGAAAAAAAAAAGAACACGATACATCTTTTGATTGAGTCAAATCGGAAAATGAGTAAATGATAGTACTATAGTTGATGATGCATGTCTATGTTAAAGGAAAAAAAAAAAAAAAGATACCAAGAAATTGAAGGGAAAAAGAAAAGTAGTCGAACTCAAACTAGCTTAGATAACTTTTTATCAAAATTCTTATGCAGCTTTAAAATGTGATTATGAACTCGTGGAACCTTAACTTTTCTCTTATGTTTCTACATCTTATAAGAGAGGAATGCATGATAAGACCATCTCCAAATGAGATGTCAAATCCTAAGTGGAATGTCATGTAATCAAATGAGGATTGACATATGAGTTTTCATATGTCAAATTTGACGGAAGAGGATCCACTGTAAATCCACTTTGTGGGGATCCTAGGGATCCCCACATTCTAGTCGTTCATCGTACATCGTGCGACCAGTTTTTGTCAGATACTATTTATGTTTAATTTTAAATAAAAAAAGTCAAATGATTTTTTAAAACACGACAAATAACTAAGATGTGACGATCCCTATGAACCCCACAATTTGGATCCGGATGGAATCCAAATCCAAATTTAACAAATAAGAAAAGGTGATGTCAAATAATTTATAATTATTTTATTGTGTAGGTCTCATTAATGCACCAATTATAGATCATAAAATTTTATTTTAATTAATTTCTTTTTAAAATGGATCCTACAAATATCATTTATAATAAAAAAAAATATTGGTTGGAAAAATAGAAAATCTGATATTGCTACGTCAGCGATCAAATTAACATTTGATATTTATCTTTTGACATCTCCTTTGGAGATGCTCTAATAGTTGCCTTTTTGTATCTTCTTTTTTTCAACAAACGATATTATATATACTAAAGAAGAAGGGATGAGTTTAGCCTCATAATGTGCTAACAATAATTTGGTTCAAATTCGTCTTTGGCGAGAATCAAATCTAAGACATCACACTTACAATTAAAGAAGAATACCACTACATCGTAATACTAAGAGGCGGTTGTCTTTTTGTATTAGTTTTGTAATCATCTCCAAAGATCTCGGTCAAAGCAGGCATATGCCAAACACGAATAACCCCTGAAGCCATAGGCAAAAAACACTTGGTAGTGAGACCCAATCTTGAGTGAAATAAATATCATGGCTTCAATCTTTTTCAACAAAATCATCATGTAGTAAATTAACAAAGCCTAAAGTAATCTCTCTTTCCCCCTTAAGTTTACCTACTACGAGACCAGAGTGTATATAATCTCCTCCAGATATACATAATACTTTAGCTAGTACACGGAAGTGTATACCATGATTCTTTGTCTATCGATAACTGCATGCATTGCACAGAGAATGTGAAGAAGTAGACCATTATCTCGACAATAATGAGGCAAGCTAATATGTGCAGTGAATCCCCTTGTTAAGTAATCATGCATTGAACCTCAATTCTCTGGCAAAAATACAGCTCTTTTGATCATCTCTTCGCATATATCCTTCTTTCGATACTTAATGGACCCCTCACAAATCTTTCACATGAGCGGATAGGCATGAAGCCGTGGGTTTAGCCTGATAAATTCAAGAGAAATAACAATTTTGAGGTGCTTGTTTGTGTATTTTTGCAATTTGACTTTGAGTAGAGGATATATAAAATTATATTCTTTACTGAAAATTAAGTTCCATGAGCGGTAGGTCTAGGGTTCGAGACTTGGGAGCAGCCTCTCCATAAATGGGGGTAAGGCTAGCCGACATTCACCTCTCCCAGACCCTGCGTAAAGCGGGAGCCTTGTGCACTGGGTACGACCTTACTGAAAATCAAGTTCCACGAATACAAAAAAATACTTCTAAGGCCTGAAGTGTGATTCCAATTTTATAGTAATCGAACTCTTATAGTAAGCTGGAAATTTTGAGTTATATTATATGAGAGTGATTTCAATTCTAAAATTCAATTTAGATGACAAAACTAGCACTAATGGAATATTCAGTATCTTCAAATTAAATTTCCCTAGTGTAGCCTTAAGGGTGCATTTTTGCTCATGCTCACCACCCTACTTATTATCATTGGATGAATTTAAATTTTGCGATTAGTGTCTATCTTTTACACATATCTGGAAATTTAAACATATCCAAGGGTGATAAATAACATGGTGAGCTTCATCATCACTTGAGGATGGTGAGCAAAACTATTCCCCAAGTAAAACCCCTTCAGAGACTCGAAGATCAAGTTGCTGGACAAAAGGTAATACATGGTAAAAGGCACAAGATTAATACATCAATAGAAACTGCAGTTCATCATCAGAATAGGAATATATACAGCCATATAATGTATTTGACTAGGATCATCCTACAATTGTCCAAAGAAATATCATCTTACAAAGCTTGGTCTTTGATTTTCTACTAAAAATCATATACAACAAGCCTGGTACTGCCAAGTTAATGATCAAATTACAAGACCATCCTTTCAAAACTAAGCTGGTAAGTAAAACTTCTGATGTTACAGGGAAAGAAACAAGGGGACTCATGTTTCATGAAGAATCCCAATGCCTATAGATCGAAAAGCGTACTCTCTATACTACTTCTTACCAGCAATCAATATCACTTTATGTGTAAAATGGCCTGCAATAAAAACAAGAGTTGGGAAAAAATGTTCCGTTACAATAAGTTAATGAAGAAGATATGAAGCTGGAAATATAAGGTGACTGGGAACTTATTTCCTTTCACGTGTACAAAATTATACTCATTTTCAATGCCCTATTTATGGAGGGACTCCTAAAAAATTTAGGCTCACGCGATGCAACTCACTTGCTCATGTATGCAGTAATCAAAATCATCACAAAACTAATCAAGAAAAACAAATTTGATATGGTGTGCTTACAGTTGCATGTGAGGACCCTTAATTCCAGAATATCCAGACCATGGACCCGAAGAAGTAGCGCCAAGGTGGAAACCAGAAGTGGTAGAACGGTACAACATCTCGGCAAATTTGAAGGTGCTACACATTCCAATAGGAAAAGTTTGATCACACATCCCAGCTCCTCTCTTATTTTCATAACCTGGGTAATCCCATATCGAGAATTGTTCTTCATGAACCAAATATAATCCAGCCATATAAGCTAACTCCACTATTTTCCATTCACTAAAAGGAAATGTTGTCTTGTGTGTCACATGAATTTCTCCTACCCTGGTCAGCATTTGTCTTGCATTCTCAAAGAATCCCCTGACCAAATCCTGATGAAACCTGAAAATGCATGAATTTAGTCTAGAATTTGAGTCCTATGTTTACATTGTTGTGCTAGTGTTCTGCTTGCTATCGAAACAAAGTCATTCCAGTCCTTCGTTTAGTAATCATTCTCATATAAACCCTAAAAACCGGCTTTGCCCGTAAACAAACACCGCATGAGCACAAAATATACCATGACCTTAAACAAAAAGCTGCATAAAAGAGTGTGTTTGAACTTACCAAATCTGGAACATGTTGCGTTCACAGGAACGGGAGCCATGCAAGTAACCGGCGTGAGGAAAATTATAGATTATGCGATCAAAGCGTACACTAATCAGGAAAGGGTGCCTGCTCATGCTGTGGACATCTACCTCATGCAATACAATGCATCCCCTGGACTCTAATTCCTTCACATTGCTTATAGCTTTTGAATAATTCACCATTAACGACTCTACATTTAGCATGCAAATGATCAATCAGAACCCCTCAAGTTTAAACAAAATAAATATCAAATCTTTGCGCCCCTCTGCCTATTATTTCACCATTGATGAATTCTACAATTAGCATGCAAAGGATTTCAATCAGGATTCTGAAACCCTCTATAGTTTAAACAAAAAGATAAAATCTTTGGTCCCCGCAATCAATTATTTCATTTGGGTCATCACCAAAATGTAAATTTTAGCACCAAATACAAAGTTAATTTGCAACATCAATACTAAATTGATTTTTTCATTTAAATTAAATTTCAACTGGGGTTTCTTCAAGAATAAAAGAATTGGGATGAAATTAGGACAAAGATTTAAAGTATTTGGATGTTGACACAAGTCAATGATGGTGACTGTGATGGAATTACCTCTGGAGTCGAGAGAAGTGGCAACCATGTTGACAGCGAAGCCAAAAGCTCTGGCCAAGCAAACGGCAAAAGAGAAGTCTCCTTCTCCCACTAACAGTATCTTCTGGTAGTTGCTGTAATTCTTAATCCTTTTCTCAAAGCTAAACACTTCCATTTGACTGATTCAGTGATTCTGTTCTTCTTCTTCTACTATCTCAGCATTGTTTTGCCTTGCTACTATTATTTTCCTCTTGGGAAAACTAAAAGAACTTTCGAATCTTAGATGAACGGGCACGATTAATTCATTTTCAAATTCTCACAAAGAGGATTAAGAGTGGATTCTCATCATTTTACATTATGTTTGAATGAAGAAATTTAAAATTGCCAAGGAATTTTAAAATGACGGAAATTTAAATGATGAAATTTTATTTTATAGAATTTGTGAATTTTCTTGTTTGGGTAACCTAAAAGAACAATGAAATTGAATATGAAATTTATTGTTTTTAAACTCTCAATCATAGAAATTGGAAAATGACGCATATTTACATGAAATTTAAACTTGGGAATTGGAGATCCTAAATTCCAAGTTTTTTTCCATGCGGAAATTCTAAATTTCTATGTTTAAATCCAAACAAGGGAATTGGTGCATGTTAATTTATAACTTCTGTCTTTAATCCAAATTCCAAGTTTATTTCTCTCATCCAAATATAGTGTTAAGTCCTTAAATAAAGGGAAGATATCCCCACCGTATCTCTTTCACCAAACTCCACCAATTAATTAATTTTGATTCTTGAAATTTGATCCAACGGTACAAACAGGGAATATCTTAAAAAGTTATAATAATTATAGTCGTCGGATCAAATTTTAAAAGTCTGGATTAATTGATTGGTAATTTGGTAAGATTTGGTGAAAGGCCATCTCTTCCCTTAAATAAATTCTCAAAGTAACTGTGGAAGTCCAAAATAGGACGTTGCTGTGTTGCTTACGTGCGTTAGAGAAGCTTTGGGTCTCTAGCTTCCTGGGAGGCTAAATAGCAAAAATGGTCTCTGAGATTTACATAACTCATCATTTTGGTACCTAACATTTCAAATCAATAAAAGTGGTCCTTGAGATTGTCCACCATCCATCATTTTAGTCTTTCCGTTAAAAACTCTGTTAAGTGTCCTGGAGCTCTTAGCCAGAAGTTTAGGCAAATTTCAAAGTTTCGTAACTCAATCGTTTCTTAACCAAATTCGACCCATAATATATCAAAATGAAGATAGGAAATTGTAGAATAAGATTATACCTATTTGGAAGCCCAATGGTTGCCGGAGATGGCCAAAAAATTGTCTCAAAGTTGATTGGTCCGAGGAAAAACTGGAAAACTCGTCGGAAACTGAGTAAACTTTAAACGTTTATAACTTCTTCAATATCAAGTGATTCAAAAATGAAAATCATATTTCTCAATGAGACGAAGAGAATGGTACCCTTTTCAACGGCTAACTGGTCGTGGTTTGGCCGGAAAACAACTCAAAAGTGGCTATCTTAGATACCAAGACAACCACTTTCGAGCCATTTTCCGGCCAAACCACGCCAATTAGCTGTCAAAATGAGTACCATTCTCTTCGTCTTGTCGAGAAGTATGATTTTAGTTTTTGAATCACTTGATTTCGTTGAGTATTGAAGAAGTTATGAACGTTTAAATTTTACCCAATTTCCGGCGAGTTTTCCAGTTTTCTCTCGGATCAGTCAACTTTGAGGCTATTTTCTGGCCATCTCCAGAAAACATTGGGTTTACAAATAGGTATAATCTTATTATACACTTTCCTATCTTCGTTTTGATATATTATGGGTTGAATTTGGTTAAAAAACGATTAAGTTACGAAGCTTTGAAAATTGCCCAAACTTCCAGCCAAGAGCTCCAGGACACTTAACGGAGTTTTTAACGGAATGACCAAAATGATGAATGGTGGACAATCTCATGGACCACTTTTATTGATTTGAAATATTAGGGACTAAAGTGATGAGTTATGCAAATCTCATGGACCATTTTGGCTATTTAGCCTCTTGGGGAAGCTTTCCTGTTTCAAATAATGGAGGAAAACATAAAAATCAATTACAATTAAAAACGTGATGAAATATAAAATAATTTTTATTGGAACTAAAATTGATGATACGTTATCACAAAGGTTTTTATCACAAATGATATATGAAATTAAACATCACCATCAAGACGGTCTTTGAAATTGAAAATCAATCAATGTAATCTCTAAAAATAGGTGTCACAAATCAATGTGGTATTTCCATCACAATTCCATAAAAATTTCTATTAAGTGCTGATGTGACACATAATTGGGTCTCATAAGTCTTTTTTCCTCACAAATGGTTATTGAAATTAACCCATGACATCAAAATGGTTCATGAAATTGACATGCGACATCAAAATGGTCACTGAAATTGAAAATTGATCAATGTAGTCCCGCAAGTAAGTGCTCCAAATCAATGTAGTCATTCTGTCACAATTCTGTAAAAAAAATTGTTATGTGTTGATGTGACACAAATGGATCACACAAGTCTAATTAAATTTAAAAAATTACAAATAGGTTTAATAATTTAATAGTTAATAGAAGTTGTGAAACCAAAAATCCAGTCCTGCAATCACCTCCAACCTCAGTCCACATTTCTTTACCTCTGTTTATTCTGTAAAAAAAAAATCTCAATACACTCATTTTTACACACTTCGACACCCTTCACCGAATTGAATCTGGATCGATATCACCTTTGGTGATGGCTTGGCTGATTGGCAACGACTTCTGGGACATCACCATTAACATTTAGGCGATCAACATACTCATAACCTTAATCTTGGAAAGTTTGTTCCGCACTTCCCTGGTGGTCTGGTGACTTAAGGAACGACGAGATCTGCCTTGAGATAATGAGGTTATAATCGAGATGCGTCTATTGTTGGTTGAAAACTATTTCCAAACCCTCTTAGGCCTTGGTTAAGCCTTGTACCTTTGAGAATTTATGGAAAAGATCTCTCTTCAGAGCAAGTCCTACTATAAAAAGGTCGTACCCAGTGCACAAGGCTCCCGCTTTACGCAGGGTCTGGGAGAGGTGAATGTCGGCTAGCCTTACCCCCATTTATGGAGAGGCTGCTCCCAAGTCTCGAACCCGAGACCTACCGCTCATGGGCGAAGGCACTTGCCATCGCACCAAGTGCGACCTCTAGAGCAAGTCCTACTATAAGAAAAAAAAATCTCTTGTGCAAAAAGGTATTTAGACAACTTTTTAAATTAATTATTAAACCCACATCAACACATAACAAATTTTTTTTATAGAATTGTGGCAGAAGCATCATATTGATTTGCGACACCTATTTTTAAGGACTACATTCATCAATTTTCAATTTTATGGATAATCTTGATGGTGTGGATCAATTTCAAAGACCATCTTGATGGTGTGAGTCAATTTCAAGAATCATTTATGATAAAAACTCATAAATCATGTGGAGACCCATTTATATGTCACATCAGTACTTAACGGAATTGTGACGAAATAATTATATTGATTTACGACACCTATTTTCAAAGACTACATTGATTGATTTTCAATTTCAGGAACCATTTTGATAATGAGGGTAAATTTCAAGGACTATTTATGATAAAAACCCGTTAACACAATATGTTGGTAGTTGGTACTTCACTGTTCCGCCAATTTTTAGCAAAGAATGAGAATTCATTTGGGTTCTATATGCATCGATATATAAAATGTGCAATTTTATCAAAGAAGCTACCACGATATATTATGAATATACTCAATGAGTTGAGCTCTTGCATAATAGTATAGATTCAAATTTCATTTGCGGCTAATCTAACAAAACTTCTTGTTAAACAAAAAAAATGAAAAAAAATAAAAAAAAACTAGGTCTAAAGGATGTCTAGAACCAGATATGGCATTCAAGCGATACTCACAAGCTCGACGAGGAACTGGTTGATATATATTCCTGAGCTTTACGGATTTGGGTTTTAATGTCCAGATTTATGCTCATGATGTTTCATCTATACATTTATAGTCACTTAAGTCCCTGTTTTAAGAAAAAAACTGTTTCCAAAACAACTGCTACGAAACCAACTAGATTGGATTGGATTTATTTGGATTCTCACAAGCATATCCGTCATCCAATCCACTCGTCGGGATCTGGTGTTTAGGGATTCAATCCAATCTGCCAACCAAACAGTGATAATATGGATTAAAGTAATCTTGGAAACCTTAGAGAGATCTCCAAATTTTGTATCCCTTCTTTGATGTTTTCATCTCTAAGCTCTCCAGTTAAGTGCAAGCCATATCGACTATGTCATCAGACCACGTACTAATACTCAAAGCTCCGGGCCGGAAACTGGAAGCAGCTGGAGGGTACAAGCACTTGGGAAATCTGGAGGTGCTCGCCTCTCCAACGTGAAAATATACATCACATTTCCCTGCACCTCTCTTGTTTAAGTAATCTGGATAGTCCCTTATTGAGAACTCTTTTTCTTCTTTAACCAAAAATAAGCCAGCCTCTTCTGCTAAATTCTCTATTTCCCACTCAGTGAAAGGATATGATGTCTTGTGCGTCACATGAATTTCTCCACTTCTGGTCAGCATCTCCCTTGAACTCTTGAAGTACCCCTTCACCAAACTCTGGTGCGACCTGAAAAATGCATGATTCAATCTAATAATTAGACCTAGACGACTGTCCTAGAGTCCATGCTATTTGGGTCAGGCTGACTCTGGACAATTTCTCACGGTCAGCCTAACTCAAATCAGTTCAGTTCACAAATGTGGTCGTATGGAAAACACCATGTGGTATAACTTATGTGTCTTCGTTTAACGCACGCGTTAGTTATATTATACTATAAAAAAAATATGTGTTGTTCACTCATATCACAACACATACATGTCATATTGTTGTGTATGATTTCAATAAAAGTAACATTTTGGCCCTATTTTCAGAACTTACAAAATGTGGTGCTGCTTTTTCTCCGACGAACAACGAAAATTCGAGCATCCAGCGTGAGGAAAATTAAATATGATCCCATCAAACTCCATCCTAGTAAGTTGAGGGTGGTGGAGCATGGTGTGTACATCTACCCCATGGAAGATTTTGCATCCCATGTTCTCCAATTCCATCAAGTTTTTCATAGCTTTTGAATACTTCACCTTCAACTCCTCTACAAACAACATACAAATTAAATAACTTCAATCTCTAAATTGAAAAGACATAATAACGTGTTTGGTTGATGTAAATTAATACCTCCTTAGTCGAGAGAAGTTGCAACCATGTTACTAGCTGACCCGAAACTTTTGGCCAAACAAAGCGCAAAAGAGAAGTCTCCTTCTCCCACTAACAGTATCTTGTGAAAGCTGCTGTAATGCTTAATCTTCATTTTTACACCCCAGCCAAACACTGCCTCCGTTTTGTTCCCCTTCGCTCGAGATTTCTCACATATCTCACATTTCTTTAACTTTTTTTTCATCTTCAATTTCCCCATTTTCTGAGCTGATTGAATTTTTCCCTTTTTACTCTTGAAAGTTGGAAAATTTATAGGCAAAAATGTTTAAACGCATTCATAGGGACTGATTAATTGAGAAGAAATGTGTCACATTAATTAGAACGAGTGTTGGAAATTGAAAGGTCCCAAATTTTAATTTTTTTTGTCAGTCTGTATAGCTTCTATTCTATCTAGTATTATCAAATAAATTTGGCATTGTTGATAAGATATGAAACTAAGTAAAATTAGAAAATAGTTATTAACACTCAAAGCATGTACAAATACAGGAATAAAATACATTTGAGGGGGTGTACACATCGCCCTTTATTAAAGAATAATGATTATTTTGGAACTTGCAATCTGGTAATTTCTGTCGTATCAACTTACAATGCTTAGTCCCATTCCAAAGTTCTTTTTGTGTGGCACATGCAATATTAGAGCATTTCCAATGGAAAGATACAAAATTAAAATGTAAAAATTTCATTTCATTTACATTTTGAGAAGATGTAAATATAGTATTTGAATTAAAGGAGTTTTAATAAAATACTTCCGGTACGGTTCATTTTTAATGAAAAATCACATTTTTACCTTTAACTGACATTATTCACTATACCTTTAAAAATGGTTTTTCATTAAAAGAGAATTTTTTTTTGAATTTTTCGTTAGTTTTTCTTTAAATTAATGGTGAAAAAGATGTACGTAAATTTAACATTGAAAATAAAAAACATTCAACTTCCATCTTTTTTTACATCTTTCGGTCGAGTTTACTATTTTACATTTCCTTAAGATTTTCTGTAAATAATCAAACAGAAAATAGAGTCATTTCCAACATGATAATCAAGGTTTACCTTTACGTATGTATAAAAATTTGAATAAGTAATAATTTCGGAGGCCCAAACAAACTTAATCCATGACTTCCCGTCCCGAAATTTATTATATTTTATTTTTAATAGGGGTTATATTATCAAAATATCATTTAGGTGCCAAGTAGACCTTCCACGTGGATCTCAATTTTCCTTTCACTTTTCCACTTTTACTTTACTACTTTTAAATAGTATTTATTTTTACAAACCCATAACAGTAAACGGAACTTAATCCGAAGTTATAACGAATAAATTATATTCGAAATAGTATAAATTTATTTGAGATAAATTCTAACTTTTCTTATGCAGTGTGCATCACCTCCTTATTGTGATGAGAGACTGATTTTGTGGCAAATGATTATTAAAATATTGTTTTGTTTGGTTTTTGAACACCCTACCTACTTACCCACTCCATCAGACACCGTCGTTACTTTTTATTAAATCTCTCTCACTTTTTCTCTCATGCGACCATGTCCCATTCCCCAATTTTATTTTATTTTTTCCCCATGTCAGGCTGTCAGCCGGTTCTCTCCCTCTACCTCATCCTCTCTATCGAGAGATTTTTTAATGCTAACGATATACGGGATGGTACATCACATATCATTAAATAAATAATGAGATATGTGTGCTAAAAAGTTAATAACTTACAAAATAAAATTTCTCACCAGTCTTATTAAAACATTTAATGTATCACCTGTGCTCCCGTCATAATTAAAAATTTCTCCCCTCTCTCAAGCCTATTTTTCTTATTATTTTATTATTTATTTTCTCTCATTTCAACCGGTCCCATCTCTCTCACAATTTTCCTTCACATCTTTTCTCTCTCTCTCTCTCTCTCTGACACACACACCCCACTTTCCCGTTCACTTTCCACTCCCTCGCGTCACTCCCTCTCTTTCCACTCATCTCTCTCGCTTCTCTCCTTCATTTTTCTGAAGTTCCTGTCTCTCTCTAACTCTCTCTAACTCTCACTCTCTACAGAGCTCCGAGAGCTCTCGTCCCCTTTCCTCTTCGAATTTAAACAAACCAAACTCCAAAACCATGAAACCTTAATTTCTGGCGCTAGAGGATCCTAGCTATACCGTTGCATGCGTCATTGGATCATCACGGTGTAAACCATCATTGAAGCCGAGAGCTTCAAGCTCTGAAACTCGAACCCAGGTGAGGTTCTCTATGAAAATCTTGTTTCATTATGTTTTAATGTTGCTTGGGACAAGATTTGTGGTGTTTTCCAGTTCGAAACCAGAGGTTCAACCCCCCTGCAATTTCTCTGAAACCTTGCCCAGTTTTTTGTCACCTCCTCCGAGCAAACTCCGGCAAGTTTGTGGGTTCTGGAGCTCGTGCTCAGTTTGAATCCATTCCAGGTACTTAAATACATCGTTGCATGTGAAAATTATTTGGAAATTACTAAGGTTTGACATGCATGAGTACTGTTTTTCCCCATTTTTAGAATCCGGCGAAGAAACCTGGCCCTTGTAGGCGATTTTCCGGCCAAATGCAACCACGGACGAGAACCCCAATGGTATATTTCGTTAATCAAGTTAGGTGTTAGAAATTGTACAATGTTAGATTATGCTTGTTTGGTGGGAAATTTTAGAAAATAATGATGTTGCTGTACTGTTTCTACAACAAGGACAAAACTGTAAAAATTGTTGAAGCTTTAGGGCTCTTTGGTAATTCTAGGAAGTTGGTGGCATTTTTGCAATTACCTCTAATTTTTGGGGCAATTTTTGTAAAATGTGCAATTTGGACAGATTATAGTTAATCTGTCCATTTTGTATATTAATTATGTTTAAGTATTGTGTTAAGTCAATGTGACTTGGTATAGGTACAAACTTATTTTGTTTGCCGAATGACAAGGCTTATCGAGAGCAAGCAAGCTATGGTTATGTGAGTGGGTCTTTCCGTTTTTACATATATATATATATATATATATATGTATGTATGTATATGTGATTTTTTTACCAACAACTGTTTTTATATACTATGATGTGACATGCCATGTTTAGCTTTACAAGTAGACTTTCCGTACACTTTATGTTTTTAATATTATTTGTGAGCATAAACTTATGTCATGATATCCTTGCATTTTACTGCTCATTATTACATGTTTACACGGTATCTCTTAGTTATTTGTATTGTCTTGGGCCAAGGACCAGCGTCACTTACATTCGTTTTGGATCCAGAGTTGAAGTGTCAGTGTGTCTTTTTGTATGATGTGTTGGACTTGTATGTGATGCGATTAGCGCAGCTCACGTGATGTAGTATTAGAATGTAAAACCTACACCCAGCCTATTCCATTGTTTGAATACCTCTGCAATGGACTTGTGTGTCTACATAAATTAATGAGCATTGATTTCTTATGCTATCGATTTGAGATTTAATGTTGAGGAAACTTATTGATGTACCCTACATCATTTAACTCACTTTTGTTGCACGGTACTGTGTTATTATTATAATATTTTTGGGAAACCATATACTTGTTTTACACCAAGGGGTTACACTTACACTTTTCGAAAAAGTTTTACAAAACTTTATTTTCAGGCCCACTCATTCTTATTTTTCACCCCTCCAGGATTTTAGTGGCAAAGGTTTCATGATGATGAGGATTGCCGGTAAAAGCTATCATGTAGGAGACTTCTCCTTTCGGTATAAATGTCATTACTCTTATTTTACTGCAATTTATCTATACTCTGACATCACTTGTGTGATATTGGTTCAATTATGCACGCATGCGCATTCTAAATTAGTCACTTTTAGGTTTTAATTTATTCATTTTTTCTATATCACTATACTTTATGATTTCGTCTTATTCTAGGTGTCGGTCAACACATCACGATTCAATTGGTTTGGATAGTTAAAATTTTCCATACTTCAAAAACGACAAAAAATAAGAAGAAATTTTTCAGTGTGCCGATAACACACTCTCTGGTACATTGAAAAATCTCTCAAAAACAAGGGTTTTATGCAGAGTGGTCTTAGAGCTTCACGAGAGATTCCATCAAACAAATATATATGCAGGTATCTCCCAAACAGTACCGGTCCCAACATCAAAGGGGAAGCTTCAAAACTTAGTAGAGGCGGTACGGTACAACTGCTTGGCAAACCTGAAGATGTTAAATATTCCAACAGGAAAAGTTTGATCATATATCCCAGATCCTCTCTTATTTTCATTATCCGGACAATCCCATCTCTAGAAGCTTGCTTCATTGCCCAAATATAATCCAGCAGCTTCTGCTAACCTCACCTTTTTCCTCTCACTGAAAGGATACGATGTCTTGTGTCACATGAATTTCTCCCCTTGCAGATCAGCATTTCGCGAGTTAACCAACTTCTGATGAACCTGAAAAATGCAGGATTTTAGTTTAAAGATGCATCCCTTTAAAAATTAAGCCTCACTTGAATGAATATTATTGTACGAGCCCATCACGTATTTGATCCCTTTCTCGTAATATGTGCCTGTATAGTACTTAGTTAGGACGCATATTGCAAGATTAATTATATGTGATGGGCATTGGGTTCGTACCAACATTTCAACTATATAATTTTCGAACTTAACTCACATAATTTGGAAACCGCTGCGTTCAGCAGAAGAGGACCATGGATGTAACCGGCGTGAGGAAATTATAGACAATGCAATCAAACCGTTGGTTGATTAGGAAAGGGTGTTGGCTCACGGTGTTGACTTTCACACCAAGCAATGTTGAGCATCACCTGGCCTTCAATTCATTCAGGTTACTCGTTGCTTTCGAATAATCCATCATCAAATTAACTGTAACTAGCATAGTGAATAGCTTAATCGCATATTAATTGGTAAAGAATTAACCCTCTCTAAACTAAACTAACCTAAGCTGCATACTGACGATAATTACCTTCGGAGTCCAGAGAAGTTGCAACCATGCTGGTAGCGGAACAAAATGTTCTGGCTAAGCAAACTGGAAAGGAGAAGTCTCCTTCTCCGACTAAGACCTAGTTTGGGAGTGAGGTGCTTAAAAAAAAGCACCCATGAAAAAAAACTGTGAGGGTTTTAGGTGTTTGGTAAACTGAAAAAAAAATGGCTTATTTTGGAAGCTGCTGTGAGAATAAGCTGAAATCAAAGGAAAAAGCTGAAGCTGCTATTTGCAGCTTTGAAAAACTGGCTTATTTTGGGAGCTGCTGTAATGCTTGATCCTTCTCTCCAAGCTAAACAATTCATTTTTCTTGCCTTTAACTTACTCGAAACTTACTTGCTAGGTACGTCCAAAGGTGAATCACACTAGTTAATTATACAAGAGTGGCAAGCTAGGGGGCAACATTTATGTTTCTAATCGAAAGGTCTCTCTCTTAGTTTTTTTTCCCAGTTTGTTTATGTTCCATGTAGTTTTACTTCTCAATCTGTGCCATTCATGACCACTAAACATTGCTTAATTTTTGTGAATTCATGCACCTTATCTAATCTAAATACTCAAAATTAGGAGATACTACAATCATGTTGCTGAAACAAATCTAAAAACAATTAAAGGAAGGAAACAAATTGGCACCCGAGATGACAAATTTTCTCAAAATATACAAATGATTCGTCAGGGTATAAATTTTTCAACGTGAAGCACAAACAAACCATAACTAGTTACGAAAGTTTAACCTGCCTCCAAACTACTAATCATATATTGTTTATGAATTTATATTTGTTGAGTTTTGTCCAAAATTCTAACTATATTTTCTTCTTCCAAACCCAGGGTTTTTGTCTCCTCCAACAATCCCACATCGCTCAAGCACAAGATGTGAAAGTTGTTTATATATCGTTATCCATCAACATGGTTTGCCAAGTTCACTAGAATCTTAAAAAACAAACCACTCAACTCTCCTGGGCTTGGCTCTTTTTAATTTTACTTTTTCACCTTCCTTTTAGGGAAATTCTGTTTTTACTATAAACATTTTAGTTAATTTTACGGTCTGTATATAAATACTACAAATCTTCTGAATCCGTTATTTTGTCAAGCTCGAATTCTTCTTCCCGTAAATTTGATGAGTTTAAAATATCAAATTATCAATTGTCGAAGAAGGATGATAATTCTAAATTTTTTTATTTTTCTTTAAAAATATACTTTTTTTTAGATGTCCAGATGATTCAACGGGTGGTAAACTGGGCACGAAAATGAAAGGGGAAACAAAACCATTCATTGGAACATTATATAAACAAAACAATGTAGACATTCAAGCTGCTAAAACATACGGTCACAAAATATGAACAGCCATGGGATATGTGCACCCCCCACCCCCGGGGGCCGGAAAGATATCGACATATTGCAGATACAGCCCGAGGCGAAAAAAAAAAAATCAAAAAACGAAATGAAACTTGTACAACAACGTCACAGCTCTGACAGAATGGCTGGGATGTAATGGGACAACTCGGCCGTCAGAGATTGAAATCCATTCACAAGTTGAGTGTGGAACTCCTGATCTTCCTCACCGATCAATCTGAAGTGCACACGGATTGCACGCTTGCATACGGCCATAAATTCGAGGAGTGCAGCAATCAGTTGCTGCAGTTCCTGGGACCGCAATCTTGTTGCAGGCTCGCCTGATAGGAATGCAGTGCACACGCTCAGTACCCCACTGTTGACCTGCAAAGGGAAAGTAGGGAAATCCGATCAGCAAACGAAGTTGAGTTATGGAGTCAGCAGCTGATACATTATTGGGTTTAGAAAAATGTAGTTTGAGAACAAAATTCCACCTGGACGGCAACACTGCCTTGAAGAATTCTTTGTAGGCTCTGGAGACGTGGAAGTTGATCCCCTTCAGAACTGCGAGGCTCTTCAAGTTCATTTCGTAAAGCAGCTGTCCGAGTTTCAATCATTCCAATGGCATTTTCTACTGGGGAGAACTCAAGCGATTCGGATTTGGTAACTAATAGCCTATTCACAAGAGCTGGGAATGAACCTTCAGTTTGAAGAACGGTCCGCCTCTTCCACTGGTCCTCCAACCCACCCTGAGTCTTTCCATTCTTCGTAAATGGGGTATCAAACAAGAAACGATCAAAGACTCGTGCACGAACACTTCCAGTTGAAAGCGAAAAGATTCTCTCCCGTCTACTTCCCAAATCCTCGTCTTCCATGACCGGATCAACAGCTGTTATCTGCAGGTAGCAGACTCCAGGCTGCAATTCATCCGCCTTCACATGCCTAGAATCTGGAATAATGTGTAAGGTGTGATTGCCATCCATCCTAGATTCGTATACGTGACTAAGTTTCTCCATTATGTCACCTAGCCTTACATCGCGGGGCTCCCTGTATACATATTCCTTTCTATCCAACTTTCCAAATCTGTTACCGTAAAAGCCCACCCTATAGTATGTTGCATCAGTGAATGGAATTGGACTTGACTCCTGCTCAAGGATTGATTCATAGATATTGGTAAGCATTGTGTGACATTTACTCAGTTGTCCATACGCCCGCCGGCTTTTATAAACTGGAATCACAAGTTCCAGTATGCTTGCACAGAAATGAAAGAGTTCAGCTTGAGAAAACAACTTATTTGCGAGTTGTAGGTACTTCACAGCAGAGTCAACGGTAAGTTTTGATGCACCATATCCCTCTACCTCAGCTGCAGTTGTCTCAGAGCTGATCTCAATGCTGACCATTGGACAAATTTTACGTAAAGCAGTTATGTGATCTTTGCTCCAAACACCATCATTTCTAGCAACAAGGGCCTATACAAGATTAAAACAGACCATTAGCTAATAGTAAAATAGTGAGCACCTTCACACTTAAAAACAGAGAACAGATTTTGAGAACAGAAAAATGTTTCATGCGGAGGTTGCATTGCGAAAAACCGTAGCACTTACCTGCATTACAATACCGGCCACAGCAACAGCACACTGAGCAGCTTCAGCCCAAGACTGCATTTCCTGATGTGCATCACATAAATGCAGTAACCACATTATGTGAAGGTCTGGGACAGGGGCAAATGCCATAGCAAGTCTATAGAAGCTTTCGGCAGCTGCATATCTATCCATAGTTATCAAAGAGCCCTGCAAAACAAATTGTAGCCGGTATTACAACGTAAATCCAACAGCGTCTCCTCATCTCAACATTTGTCAGAAGAACAAGAAAAACTTAGGGCAATCCAATTTCAGGAAATAATATATTGTTTCTGTTCACAAGAAAATGAAAAAAGCATGGTGGGACAAAGTTATGATTAAAACATAGGAGTACATGGCAATCAGTCGTAAATTTTCCTTAATTTATGAATAGGATGGGGCATGAGAAACCACATGAAGCTTCACTACATTAGTTTTAAACTCAAACAGAAAGCCAAAGATAGTGTTACTTCTTTTATCATTGTCAAACTGCTTCTATTTTTAGGCACAGAAATCAGTGGCTTGCTAACAATTACCTTCTGACAGCCGTAAAGGAATTTCCATTGTCTATAGTGAAAAGTATTACTTTCGAAAATATGAGAAGTTCAATGCCTACGAAAAAAAAAGAACCTAGTAAAGAGCCGAAGCACCTGGTAACACAAGATACAGATGTATATTCCCTAACAAACAAAGTTGATGTAGGCATTGTCAAACTGACCAGGAGTGCATGTTCCAAGCTGGCATCAAGAGCAAGAAGAAGACTGTCAGCGAGAAATTTCACTTCTGACCAGGACCATCTATTTTCTGTCATTTTTTCTGGAATTTCTAACAGAGCACCGTCAGGAACTCCACACTCTCTCAATAGACTCAGGCTCTTAGCTTCATCTGCCACTTCCTCAAGTGACTTTCGAAGACGCCGTGCTTCACCACTCTCTTCTAGTGTTCCATCAGCCTTCATCTGAGTCACTTGTACTTCAGACATCAACTCAGACAATGTGATGATCAGCATGACCCTCAACCTTGCTGTTTGCATAAAGTAATAGAAAGAACTCTGCAACAAGAACAAAAAAACAAATGGGAATTATTTTTTAGATTGAAAATTAACAGGAGCATACAATGCCAATGTGTCAGGGAAGCCTACCCTCATAAGCATTTGGAGCCCAATAACAGCCCTTTTTTTGATATTATCATTTCGGAAAACCGCAAGTCGAAGAAGATGAAAAGTTACTTGCTTTAAAAAGCGGTCATTTTCCCTAGCCATCAAAGTTACACCATGAAGATTAAAGACACCGTTGAAGACAGGAAGCAATGATCTCCAGAAAGACAAAGGTTGATTTCGAGAGAAGAAGCTCATAAATATGGCTGTGACGCAGTCAAATTTTCCATAGTCAGTGGCGATGCTGTGGGATGCTGCCATTATGGAGAACTTCTCAGTTATTTCCAAAACC